CACAAGGGGAAGGATTTTTTTTTAATAAAGATTTTTTATTTATTCATTTGAGAAAGCGAGTGAGAGCACGAGCAGGGGGGAGGGGCAGAGGGAGAAGCAGACTTCCTGCTGAGCAGGGAGCCCGATGTGGGGCTTGATCCCAGGACCCTGGGATCATGACTTAAGCCGAAGGCAGACGCCTAACGGACTGAGCCACCCAGGCACCCTAGGGCAAGGATTTTTGTCTGGTTTATTCTCTGTTGTATAGCCTCAGCCCATAATAGATATCCAGTAGATACTCAATAGATATTTTTTGAGTGAATGAAATCTTCCAGTACATGTTGGGAATGAATTGAAAGTGTTTTAAAATTTTGTATAGACCAAACACAGCCTTGTTTTCAACCTGTAGACTATATTATGGGTAATATTAGGGTATAAAAGTTTCCTGAGGGTGCCTGGGTGGCTCAGACGGTTAAGCGTCTGCCTTCGGCTCAGGTCATGATCCTGCGGTCCTGGGATCGAACCCCACATCGGGCTCCCTGAAGCAGGGAGCCTGCTTCTCCTTCTCCCTCTGCTGCTCCCCCTGCTTGTACCTCTCTCTGTCTAATAAAAAAATTTAAAAAAAAGTTTCCTGAGAAGTTGAAAGTAGTGTGTGCATGGGGATGTGTCTTTTCCCACAATTGATTTAGCACCCAAAAGGTGCTTGGGCCTGCAAATGAACAATGAATGTTGAAACAGTGAACCATGAAAATGAGGCACTACCCCTGTGCTCAGAGAGCCTTCTGGGAGATCTGAGTTGTGGTCCTTGCCTGCAGTAAGTGGGTCTCTAAACCTGGACCTCAACTTCCACATCTGTAAAATGAGGGACTTATATCGAATCCTTAAGACCCTTTCACTAAGAGGGCCAGAAACAGGGCTGAAAGCCCATGAATGCTGAGGCAAGTTCATGCCAAGAGTGTTCTGACCCGATGCCTGGCTCTGACACCCGAGAAACATCGAATGTCTGGGCTGGTCTTGTTTCTTCCCTGGAGGAGAGACATGAGGACCTGCTGAAAGCTTTGTCTCCGCTTGTCCTCATGGGGGAGGGGTGGGGCTTGGCGGGAGCTTTAGAGCTGAGATATTTCTTCAGGCCTTTGTTCCCTGGAGGGTGGGGATTTGGGGTCACCTCTGGCAGAAGCCAAGGAAGACAGAAAGCCCCCATGTGCTTGGGAGCTCCCCTTCCATCCTGTGACCAATTACCCCACCCCCTAAAAAGTCTCTGTGCCTAGTCTTGTAGATGGAACAGAGGGTAAAGGAAGGCACGGAAGGAAGGAAGGTCAGGTCTTCTCTGCTTATAGTTGCGGGGGAGGGGACGGGAAGGCAGCAGAGAGTACTCGGTAGGGTGGGGAGAGGCTAGGGTCTGTGCTTGAGGAGAGAGATTTTTTAAAGCCATCTTAGGAAGGATTTTAGGCTTTTTAGAGAGAGCAGGGCCAGGGACGCTGACCCAGAGAAGAGTAGGGTGTTTGGGGAAGAAAAGGAGATGGTTCTCTAAGGCAGACGTTCTATTGTTTGCAGAGGAGACAGCCAAGACAGGGAGGTTCCGGGCTCATGGATAGGTTTGGGGGTGTTCTGTTCCTGTTTACAGAAACTGGGGGAGGAGAGGGTTCACCGGGGGAGAGGAGCTACCTACCACTACTGTCAGCTGGGGCTGGTGGCTTTCGGGGGAGGCAAGGTACCCTGGAGCCATTGGTGGTCTCTGATAGGACCTGGACACTGTTTTGGAATGCCACCCGCCCTGGGCGGGGGCTGCTCTGTGGCTCTGTTACCTGCTCAGATGGGCCCAAGCTGGAGACACCCCATTGCCCTCCTCGGCCTGCAGGTGAACGTGCTGGCCCTCAGCATCTGCACCCGGGAGGCCTACCAGTCCATGAAGGAACGCAAGGTGGATGACGGGCATATCATTAACATCAACAGGTGAGGCAGGTGGCCAAGGGCTAAAGCTCAGACCACCACTCACCCACCAAGCTGGGTGACCATGCTGAGTGATCTGTTGCAGCTCATTTGACCTCTTTGGAGGTCCATTTCATTGGTGGTAAAGTAGGGATTTAATAGCCGGTTAGCAGCCAAATGGCCCAATTATGGGTGAGGGAAGGAATAGGGCATATCAAGTGCCAGGCCCTAGTTGGACTCGCAGGGAGCTCAGGGCTTGCAGGAGCTGCTTGAATCACAGAAGCTACCTTAGTGGGCCCCCAGAGGTCCCGTTGAGCAGGGTTCTGTGGGGCATCCGGGTGGCGGGGCTGACTGGCGCAGCAGGGGACGTGGCTGCTCTCGGCAGCTTCACTCTCTTCCTTCCCCTTCTCTCCCTCCACCCAGCATGTCGGGTCACCAAGTGTCACCCCACTCCATGATCCATTTCTATAGTGCTACCAAGTATGCTGTCACCGCCCTGACAGAGGGACTGAGGCAAGAGCTTCGGGAGGCCCAGACCCACATCCGAGCCACGGTGAGGGTGCGGCCTGGCCCTAGGGCAGTGGGGGGGGCAGGGGGGGCACAGGCCCTTCCCACCCCCCACACACACTGGTCAGGGTTTGCTGCTGGGAGTGTGAGGGCACAGGGCCCCTGGGCTCTGCCACTGCTTGCATGACCCTGCCCAGTCCTTGCCTGTGAGGGGGGAGGGGGCTGATGGGAAAGGGAACACAGTGGGTGAGACTGGGGGAAAGCAAGGGGTGTGGGACAGCCTGGCTGGAAACCCGGACTCTGGGCTCTTCGCTGGAAGGCCGCAGGGCCCTGGGCAGCTCACTCAGCCCCTCCAAACCTCAGCCTTCTCACTCATAAAATGGAGACAGTGACCCCTACCTGGCTATGATGTTTTAAGGGACATTGTTGGAAAACCCTTACCTGATAAGGGCTCTGTAGGTTGCAGGTATCACTGTGATCATTGCAGCTTTGAGAGGATGGGGTGGTTGCTGGACATGGGGCAGCCATCACCGGGAAGCAGGGGGCCCCACCGTCTCCATCCTGCCCTCCCCAAAGCCCGGCCTCTGATTGGGGTGGAAGTGGGGCTTGGCTCGGCCCCTGAGCAGGCCCTCTCTGTTGGTCCAGTGCATCTCTCCAGAAGTGGTGGAGACACAATTCGCCTTCAAACTCCATGACAAGGACCCTGAGAAGGCAGCTGCCACCTATGAATGCATAAAGGTGGGGCCTCCCTCTGGGACGGCTGAGCCACTCACCCCCTACGTAAAGGCAGAGGGAACCCTGGCCTTTGGACCGAACCCTTCTAGCCAGCCTGTTGCCCCTCCTGGAGGGCTGGGGTGGGGATGAAGATGCTAGAGAGGACGTTAGAGGTGGGAGGTCCATTCTGCCCTCACCTCACCCCCTTTCCTCCGGTGCTCTCCAGTGTCTCAAGCCCGAGGATGTGGCCGAGGCTGTCATCTATGTCCTCAGCACCCCTCCACATGTCCAGGTGAGTCTGGCCTTGACTGCGCACCCCCTGGAGGAGGCCAGCCATCCTCAGAGGAGGACAGCAGGGAGGCCTAAGGGGGTGGGGAGAACGTCCTGGCCGCCTCAAGCCTTGTGCCTTTCAGCAGATTGGAGATATCCAGATGAGGCCCACGGAGCAGGTGATCTAGTTTCCTGTGGGGAGCTCGGCCTTCCCTCCCCGCCCCTCGCGGCTTGGCTCCTGCCTCTGGATTTTAGGTGTTGATTTCTGGACTCCTGGATTCTGCTTCCTCTCCCCACCCCACCAGGGGCTAAAAAATTTGTTTGAAGTTTTTATATCTTATCAAATCGTTTCCATCACAAATAGGAACAGTGGGCTGGGAAGAGGAGGTGGTGTCCCTGATTATTTTACCTGTTAACTCGTTCTCGGTCCCCTTCTTACGCTCCTTGGCCTTTGTTTGCTCTCTTCCGTCTCTTCCTTTTGACCTGGGGAAGGGACTGTGGCCAAAAGGGGGGCTCCCCCTGTCCCTCAGGAAGGAGGTGGCAGAGAGAAGCCCTCACCTTCCATCTGAATGGTAATCCAAGGCTCCAGGATCCCTCCTCTCCCTGCCCTACTGCCCCCATCACCCCTTCACTTCCCCCATCCCAGTTCTCCAGCCCAGTCTTGGCTTCTCGGCTCCCACAGGGGTCATCACTCCACTGACTATGGCAGCTGAATACCAGGGCCTGCCATCCCAAGTGGATTTCACTGTGGTAATTAAAAAAAAATTGCAACAACTTCAGGAGTGTCTTTCAGTTCTTCCTCCTTTTCCGTGTGATCAGGGGAGGTTGTGGGTGGATTTGGGGCATCACTCCTGGAGTGTGGATGACCTTAGGTAGCAGACGTGGGTTTGGGTTGGGTCTTGAAAATGGGTCGGAGTTTGCCAGCCAGGAAAGAGGACAACAGTGGAGACGAGGGTGGGAGGCTGGCTGAGCAGGCAGTGGTGTGGGAACAGCACGGAACATAGTGCGCGGGTGTGCGGGGCTGGAAAGGAAGCTCCTGCCTGAATCACCGGAGGTCTGAGTGCTGAGCCAGGAGACTGCCCATTACCTGTGGGCCGAGGGCATCAGTTGGCTTGTCAGCAGGCGCAGGACAGGCACAGAGCTGTCACTTAAGAGAATCAGCCGCCACGGGATAGGAAGTTACTGCTGCGGTCCTGCTGACTGATGCCGAGGGTTTGACAAGGCAGTGGAGGTGCAGAGGAGGGGCTGGATGCAGAAGTTTCTAAGGAAAATCACCAGCACCGGGTGGTGAGCTGGACGGGGGCAGGGAGTCACCACGATTGATCTGGTTGAACACCTGCTCTTAAAGTGGCCTTTGCTGGTGCCTGGGGTGAGTGTGGCCCTCCAGCCTCCTGGGACCTCTTGGGACCTGGAAGGGCGCAGAATGAAGTCGCTGGTAGGGGTGGCTCGGCCGGCGGCGGGTACAGACAGGCGGCGGTTCAGCCCGCCCTGCAGGAGGCTCTGTGGGCACGGCCCGGCGGCAGGGCATGCGCAGTGCGTCGGCGGGCAGGGGGCGGGCCGCCTGGACCCGGAAGCGGGGTCGCCCACGTGGGAGGCGGGGCGGGGCCGCTGTGGTTCGGCTCCCTGCTTCTGGGTAGTCTTCGCGGGGCAGTCCAGGCCGTTCGTCCCCTTCACCCGTGTCGGGGAGCCGGGAGTCGGCCCCGGCGGGAGAGAGCGCTCCAGATGACGCTGCAGGGGCATTGACCATGGCACTGCTCTTGGCCGTCGGGGGCGCGACCTGGCGTTGCTCGGGGCGCCTCCCCGCGCGTCATTTCTCCGGAGCGGCGCGGCGTGGGGAGCGGCCAGGCGGGGAGGAGCTGAGCCGCCTGCTGCTGGACGACCTGGCGCCGACCTCGCGCTCTGCGGGGGGACTGGAACTTCTGTTTGGCCTGTCCCCTTGTCTCCTGGCCCTGCGGGCCGCCCGTCGCTGCGTGACCAGGCTCCTGCTCCAGGCCGGCAGGTCCGGGCTGCAGGGGGAGAGGGCCGAGCTGCTCCGGGCGGCAGAGGCGCGGGACATCCCCGTTCTGCGGCCCAGACGGCAGAAGCTGGACGCCCTGTGCCGCTTTCAGGTCCACCAGGGCGTCTGCATGGAGGTGAGCCCGCTGAAGCCTCGGCCTTGGACCGAGGTCGGGGAGGCGAGGCCAGGCGACGACCCCCAGCAGCTGTGGCTCGTCCTCGAGAGGCTCCAGGATCCCCGGAATCTTGGGGCCGTGCTGCGTTCTGCTCACTTCCTCGGAGTGGATAAAGTCATCACCAGCGGGAGAAACAGGCACGGACGTCCCTTAGTCCCCATGTGCCCCAGTTTGGGGCGCAGCCGAGTTTCTAAGCACCTTGATTCTTGATCCCTCAGCCAGGCCTCCCCATCGCCAGAATTCTCACCTTAACCCTTGGGGGCCCAGGCGGAGGGCAGGGCCACTAGGTTTGAGATTACCCAGATTAATGCGGGGCATGGGGAAATTTGCAGCTGCCCACTCACTCCGGTAGTCAGCAAGGCCAGCGCGGGGGCTCTGGAGGTGATGGACGTGTTCTCCACTGATGACCTGGCCGGCTTTCTACAGGTAATGGCGCGCAGGGGGGGCGGTGGGTAAAGGAGCAGAAATGAGCCAAGCTCAGTCTCTCCAAGGGCACTCATCCAGCAGCTGATGGAGGAAGGGGAGGATGTTGGCATCCTTCCCTACGCCCTTCTGAATCGCTTTGGGAAGGGAAGGATCCTGGAATTTTCGAAACCATACGTAGAGCAGGATCTGAAGTTAGAGACTTCGTAGCTTCATTCCCTTTAACCTCACTTCTTCCCCAGGCATCTCTTTGCCCCGTAGGCTAATGTACCTGAGAGCCTCACTGCCTTCTCAGTAGGTTGTCAGTAAATACTTTTTGTTCAACTGTGGGAAGCTGGGTGGCAGGAATCATGCATTCGCTGAGTAGAGACACATCTCCAAAGGCTCTTTGAACGAGGACAGACTAATCTCTGCCTTTCCCCTCCTCCCACCCCCACAAAAAACAAAAACTCAAACAAACCACCACCACCACCATCATCAACAACAACAAGAAACAACTTTGATGTCCAGGAAGGGATAAACCTAAGAAACCCCTCTACTGCTCCAGCTTTTGGTCTTCAGCTGTCCTTCTCTTGCTGGACACAGGGGGGCAGTCTTGCCTTGCATTTGGCTGCTCCCCTGACCAGCCGCCCCCTCAGGGCTTCCAGGCCCAGTTCTTGGATCTCTTCATTTCTTAGTTTCATCCAGTCTCAAGGCTTTACACAGCATCTATACTTGGATGCCTCCCAAATGCGTATCCTAGCCTGGATCTTACTCGTGAGCCCCAGATTCAACAGCTGCCTTTGTGATCTGAGGGGCATTTCACACTTCCCATTTCCAAAGCTGAGTGCTTCCTTCTGTAGACTTGCCCAGCTCAGTCGAGGGTGACTGCATCCCTTTGTTTGGGGCCCTTGATTCTTCTTCCTGCTCTCACACCCCGTGGCCCACCTACCTGCAGATTCTGTCGGTTTTACCTTGAAGTCACTTTTGTATTCACACCAATCCTCACCATCTCTACGGCTCCCACTGTGGGGCAGGCCACCATCCTCTCTTGCCTGCCTTACTGTGGAAACATCCTCACCAGTCTCCTCCTGCTATTGGCTCTCAACGCAGCCGGCGGAGTGATTCTGTTGAAGCATGTCAGACCATCTTACTTCTCTGCTCAAAACCTTTCAAAGCCTTTACAGCTCTCCCAGAGTAAAAGCCAAAGTCCTTCCAGTGGCCTTTGAGGTCCTGCCTTAGGTGGCCACTTGGTTTCCCTCTCCTGCCCCAGCTGCTCCCTCCCCACGGGCCACCACCTTGCCCGTCTGCCGTTCCTCACACGTGTCCCATAAGCACCAGCCTCTCAGCCTTTGCATTTACTCTGCCTAGATTATTCTTACCCCAGATGTCTACACGGTACTCTTCATCCCCTTCAGCTCTGCCCTCCGGTGTCACCTCAGTGAGGCCCACCCCAATCACCCTTCCCCTGGGTGGCTGCGATTTTGGCCTGTTTTGTTCCCTGCCCTGTCCCCAGAGCCTAGAACAGAGCCTGTCCATTCTAGGGGCTTAACAACTGTTGACTGAATTGAATGGATCATATGGGCAAGTCCAGCTCCTCGCCTGGGGCTCTGATGAAGGTTTGGGGAGCTAGAACGTGATTTCTTCTCCTTGTCAGGCTAAAGCCCGGCAGGGCTGGCTCGTGGCTGGCACGGTGGGCTGCCCAGGGCCTGAGATTTCCCCGTCCTCTGAGATCCCCACCATTAGCTGCTTGGAGTTCCTCTGGGACCGGCCTACTGTCCTAGTGCTGGGTAGGTAGATGTCCCCACTTTTCCGTGTTGAGATCTGTGCGTCCCACTGCGGCCTTGTTAGCCCTGCGCGTCCGTGCCCTGCAGGTAACGAGGGCTCGGGCCTGTCCCCGGCCGTGCAAGCCTCCTGCCAGCTGGCCCTTACCGTCCTGCCCGGCCGGCGGCTGCCTCCTGGACTGGGGTCCTTGAATGTCTCCGTGGCTGCAGGTGAGTCTGCTGTTGCCCAGCCTCCTGCCCTCTGATCGCACACGCACGGCTCCTTCTCCCTAAACAAGTTGCTCTCTCTGTCTCTGTCACTCTATGTGCCAAATGGGGAAAGTGCATTCTTTTGAGGATGAAACGAGGGAGTGCTGGGATGTGGTCCTTCCTCCTCTCCATCCTCTCCCTTCCCCTTGTCCTTCCCCTGTCTGTCGGCGCAGGAATTCTTCTTCACTCCATTTGCAGCCAGAGGAAGGGTTTCCCTGTGGAGGGGAAGAGAGAGCACCTTCTCCAAGACCCCTGAGAACCCTCAGCCACATCCGAAGGGCCCGGAGTGGCGCAGCACCCAGGACTGGCCTCAGGATCAGAACAAGAGAGGCGGAATGGGAGCTGACTTGGACTGAGTTGTGTGTACTGGAGGGCACACACCCCCACACGCTCGAATGTGCTGGAGTCTCTTACCCAAGTGTGCACCCAGGCCCTTCTTTACTAGAGACCAGAGGAAAGTTGTTTCCTGTTTTGATTTTGGCCTTGGGCTTGGGGGTGGCGGCTTGTTGATCTCCAGGATGTGCTGGGCTGGGATAGAGGGTCTCTCCTCCAGGGCCCTGCCTGGAAATGAAGACATCAGAAGGGAATCGGGCAGCCCAGTCCAGGTGTCCTGCTCCTCCTGAACCAGTGTGAGAACGTAGAGGGAGGCCTGAGTTCCTCTTGTGGATGAGACAGGTACAAATCCAGGCTAAACTCTGCCCCAGTGGGTTCCTTGAGCCCATGGCTTCATCCTTCCATGCCTGCCTCCCAGGGCTCTTTGTGAGGATCAAATAAAATCCCCTGGGCCAACTGAGGGTTCTAGGGGGGGGGGATGGGCTAGCCCGGTGATGGGTATTGAAGAGGGCACGTTCTGCGTGGAGCACTGGGTGTTATGCGCAAACAATGAGTCATGGAGCACTACATCAAAAACTAATGATGTAATGTATGGGGATTAACATAACATAAGAAAATTAAAAAAAAAAAAAATCCCCTGGGCTGTTCTGTCCCATTCCTCCACTAGGTGGCAGCCTTGGTCTTTGATCCACAGTCTCTCTTGGTAGCTTTGGCAGCCACCCGGGGAGGTGCTTGGCGGTGGCCCCCAGAGAGGCGAGGGGAAGAATAGCAAACGCCTCTCACCTCACTGGCCCTCCAGAACCCCTCACCAGCGACTCATCGGTGCACCTCTGAGAAAGGAACCTATGAACCACAGAACCTGGCCTTTGGTTCTGTGTAGTAATGAGCACAGGGTTGCTGTCGATTATACCCCCCAGATGGGTTTGGTCCTCCTCCCACGGGGTCCCACAAGTGGAGCAGAAGCCCCCAGTATAAATGGTGTAGAGCAGTCTTGGCTGCACGTTGGAACCATCTGGCAAGCTTTCAAAAACAACCGACACTGGGGGACTACCCCTAGAGAACCTGGTGTAAATGGTCAGGGGGCAGCCCTGGGTATCAGGATTGTTAAAGCCGCCAAGTGGGTGTGCTGTGTAGCCCCGGCCGAGAACCAATGGAGCAGGGCTTCTGGTCCTCAGCAGTCTTGACATTCGTTGTGATGGCTTGTCCCCCACTGGATGCCAGTAGCACGCCCTGCACCCTGTTGTGACAACCAAACGTGTCTCCAGACATTGCCACATGTCCCCGCCGGAGGACACAGTTGCCCCTAGTTGAGAACCACTGCTCTGGAGCCTGGATCTGGGGGACAGCAACCCAAGTTCAAGTCCCGATTGCTGTGTGACCTTGGGCAAGTTCCTTTCCCACCTGAACCTCAGTCTCCTCGTCCGTGAAGGGGGATCACCCTACCTTCCCGAGTTGTGGGAGGACGAGAGGGCAACGTGAGCTCAATGCCCCCCACACAGTGGTGCTCAGTAAATCATAGCACCCTTTTCTCTTTGGAATGAGTTTATCTTGGAATTTGATGGGGATGCCAGTTTAGAAAGACATTAAAAGATTAGACAATAAAAGATTGCTCTAAAGTCAAAGTTCTTCCTCTCAAGAAAGAGGAAGAGGGGTGCCTGGGTGGCTCAGTCGTTAAGCGTCTGCCTTCGGCTCAGGTCATGATCCCAGAATCCTGGGATGGAGCCCCGCATCAGGCTCCCTGCTCGGCAGGAAGCCTGCTTCTCCCTCTCCCACTCCCCCCTGCTTGTGTTCCCTCCCTTGCTTTGTCTCTCTCTGTCAAATAAATAAATAAAGTCTTGAAAAAAAAAATAAAGAGGAAGAAATCCTTTCGTGAAACTCAGATCTCTCTACCATGTTGGTCCCCTTGAGCTGTCCGTCTTCAACTCCCACACAGATTCTGACCTCTACTAGCACATGTCAGCCTTGGGCAAATTACACGGCCTCCCCCACCCCTGCTGTGCTCTTGGCCAAGAGCCTAATGTGGTTTTGAACCTTGGCTACACCTTAGATGGAGTTGAGGATGTGTGTGGTGGTGGTGGTGGGGACATCTTTAATATTCCAGATGCCCAGGGGCATCAGGCTGATTCGAACAGAATCTCTTGGGAGGGAGACAGGTCCCGCCCCTGCTGACACCAGTGAGCCGTTGGGGTTCGAGAATCACCTGTCTTCGAACCACCTTCTCATGTCCAAGAAACTGTTTCTAAATCACTCACACCCGTGCTTTTGAGCGCATGTCTGCAAGTTTGGGCCAGTTGACCTTTATCTCTGTCCCTGAGGTCTTTAAGAAGGTGCTGGGTCCAGCCCTGGCTGCATGGATTCTGGCCTGGATGGCTTCCCAGCCTCCGCATATGTAAAATGGGGATAGTGCCTTCAGTACCTGCTCCAGCTAGCCCTCCCCAACAGGGATTTGTAAAAATAAAACGAGAGAGCATCAGTAAAATAGCATTCTGTAAATCTAAGCCCTGCATACCTCAGGAATAGCACATGATAATACAGACCTGCATGTAACCGCTCAGTTTATGTATGGAGTTGCCTGGGCCACAGCATACCCCGATATTTGGTCAAACATTACTCTGAGTGTTTCCGTGAAGGTTTTTGGATAAGATGAACATTTAAGTTGCGGGGTGCCTGACTGGCTCATTTGGAAGAACATGTGACGCTTGATCTCAGGGTTGTAAGTTTGAGCCCCACATTAGGTACAGAGATTATTAATAAACAGATTATTAATAAACTTCAAATTGGTAGACTAAGGCAGAGTGCGCTTTCCAGTGTGGGTGGGCCTCATTCAATCAGTTGAAGACCTGAACAGGGTGGGAGAAAAAAAAGGCTGACCCTCCACTGACTAAGAATTCTTCCTGCCTTTTGGAACTGAAACATGGGCTCTTCCTGGTCCTGAGCCTGCTGGCCTCAGATGGGGACTAACATCACCGCTCTCCCGGGGCTCCTGCTTGCTGACTCACCCTGCAGAACTGGGACTTGCCAGTCTTACAATGACAGGAGCCAAGGATGTGTACATGTGGACAGAGATATGGGTATGGATAGACACCACCTCTTGGTTCTGTGTCTCTGGAGAATCCAGACTACTAGACTTGATGAAAATGAATGGAGATGTCATGGTGTTCCCTCTGTGTGTGGCAATACAGAATCAAGCTCTGCTCTCTAGGAACAAACCCAGCATGGAACCTAGACGTTGGGATTGGGGCTACTTGGGGTTCAGAGCCTGCTCTCCTGCCCACGGACTCCTGTGTAGTGTCTGGAACCTAATCTAACCTGCTTTGGGCATGGTGGGTCCCAGGAGTCTGAGCCATCTAGAGAGCCACTCTGGGGGCTACCAGCCATGCACGGGGGGGGGGGGGGGGGGGGGAGGCTCCTCCCTGCTTCATCCCCTGGGCACCACGCTGTCTGGCCTCTGGGAAGACAGGTTCAGTTGAACCAAAGGGTATTGAGGCCTACCTGCCAGGCACACATCGATAGGTATGTAGTTCTGTCATGCAAACCAGGCATTAAGACAAAGAGAAAGCACCTGAGACCCCCAAGGCTAAGGATGAGGTGGAAGTTTCCTTGGGGGGGGCGGCCTCTGTGCCTGCCACAGAGCAGTGCCTGCCGCACAGAGGCTGCTCAGCCAGCATGGTGAAATGCACAGGCCCCCGGGAAGGCCGCGGCTGCGGGTATGAAGGGGAGGCCGGGTGGGGGTGCATCCCCTGCAGGGCAGGGTCAGGATGAAGCCAGAGGGGAGCAGGGGCGGTTAAGAACACGACCCTGGCTGTTAGGTAGTGCTTGCTTGGAGTTCCAGCTTTGACTTGCTAGTTCCGTGAATATGGACATATCTCCTAACTTCTCCGCGTCAGAGGACCAGGCCGGGGATGGGGGTGGGGGGCCGGATTCAAGGAGCTCACGGGCGTACAGTGCTCCGCCGGGTCCTGGAGGAGCAGTCCAGCTGTTCTTGTAGCACCTGAGGGCACCAGCTCTGCTGTCCTACCAGCCTGGCCTCGATCTCCCCAGAGACTCCAGGGCCTATTTCAGCGGCAACACACGATTTACTCCTGAGAACCGCTGGAGGAAGTTGGAGAGGGGAGGGGTTGAAATGACATTGGCAAGATCCTTCTTTGTCAGGGCTCCCCAGCCAAAAGGGGAAGGGGCTCAGAAGGTTGGTATTCCAGAAGAGCTGAATTGTGGCCAGCACCCCCAACCCCCTCCAGGGCTGTATTTTTTTTTCTTTCTTTTTTTTTTTTTTTTGGCAGTAGGCTAAATTGCCAGCTCCCTCCCCCAGGCTGAGGTCCTAAATGAGACCCTCCCCTGTCACTCTGGCAGGGCCAGGCGCCAGGGATCCCCACAGTTTGTAAATGTAATCAACCTTGAGGTCTCGGGCTTCCACAGGTGCAATTAGCATGCCCATCTGCTAATCCCTGATTAATGATGTTTACAAACATGGGACGCCACTCACAGAGCTGCTCAGCCCCTCCCTCCAGGACCAGGAGGCAGGGGTCTTCCTAACAGCACCCCCGCCCCCTACACACACACACACACACACACACAGACACACACACACACACACACACAATCTTTAGGCCAATGTCCCTCTCTATCCCCTTCCCCAGGCAGTGGCAGAGCTGGAGGTCCCTCCATGGAGCCCCCTGGCCCAACTCTTATTACACACATAGGGAAAGAAGACCCAGAGTGCATGCAGGGAGAGTATGACACTCAGTGGTAGGGCTAGGATCCTGTTCTTCCCTGTTTCTCTCCGGTTCTGGAATCTCTGGATACAGGGTGGGCTTGCTGCCTTTCTTTACCATGCCAGCTTCAGCTCTGGGGTCACACATACAGGCCTCCCTGCATGGAGGTGGGAGCCCACCCCCCATGTCCCAGGGGTTGGGCTCCTCTACCTGTCTCCAGACAGGGGACTATTTCCACTCCACCCACCCTCCTTGGTGTCTCCATGCCCAGGGGCACAGTAGCAAAAACATTAAGAACGCAGACTTCTGAGACAGACAGTCCTGGGTCCAAATGTTGGCTCTGCCTCAGGCCAGTCCTTTAACCCAACTGAGCCTCAGTTTCTTCACCTGTAAAATGGAGACAAGGATAGTACCTACCACATAGCTCGTTGTAATGATTCATTATTGGACTTAGGAAATGGACTTAGCACCGTGCATGGGACACAGTAGGTGCTTAATAATGTGAGCTTTTTATTGTGAAAATGATGATGATGATGGTGATGATGGTGATGGTGATGATGAGGAAGAAAGGAGGCATTTGAGGAAGGACTTCCTCTTCTCCCCGCACCCTCCTCTCTGGGGAGAAGGGCAGGTCCCAGCTCATTACCGGTGGGGGCTAGGGTGGAGGTGTCAGATTGGAATCACTCCTGGGTCTGTTCACAGCTTCCCTGTTTCATTAACACCTCCCTGGTGGTCTTCAGCTCATCCTACTGGGGGAGGT